GTGAACCAGGGGTAGACATGTGACCAAAGAGAAGACAATCCTAGAACATGGCCTGGCACATAAAAGGAGTATGTGTGCTCCGGAGCTGCACTTCAGAAGCTGAAATGATGCCCAGAGACAGTTCTTGAAGCAGAGGCTGAGCCACCAGTGGTTCATGTAGAAGAATGTGGAATTCAGTGGACAGACACCATGAAAAAGACTGTAAACTGTGCCAAGGGGCTGGATCTAGCTCACAAGTGTGCTCTGTGGTCCGCATAACATATTATATTTTTAAAAATAACACACCCAGCTTGTGGTTTCTAAACACCATTTTCCACAAAAGGAACCAGAATTCCTCAGAGGAATAGCTGCTCTAACATCAAGGGATGAACATATACAAGAAAAGCTTAGAACACCTCACTGTGCCAGAAAACAAGGAAGCTGTCAAAACCTAACAGGACTGTGTCAAAGGACACATGAGCCAAAAAGAAGGAGCCAAAGGGACAACCTGAGCACAAAGAATGGATATGACCAACTAAAGCACATGACTGTAAAAATTGAAACAAGCCGGGCTTGGTGGCTCAACCTGTAATCCCACGCCTTTGAGAGGCTGAGGTGAGTGGATTGCCTGAGCCCGCGGGTTCGAGACCCGCCTGGGCAGCAAGACCTCATCTCTACAATAAATTAAAAAAAAAAATCAGCCGGGCGTGGTAGCACATGCCTGTAATTCTGGCTACTTGGAAGGCTGAGGCGGAAGGATCGCCGGAGCCCAGCAGGTGGAGGCTGCGGTGGCCGGGAGCGGCCACTGCACTCCAGTCTGGGCGACAGAGTGAGACTCCAACTCAAAAAAAAAAAAAAGAAAGAAACAAACAAATAATATTTAAAAACGAGTTCAGCACAATACCTTTGAGAAGGTAAAACCTTTGCTGGACTACACTGGAAACAAGGACAATTCCTTGCTCCAAAAATTGTCCATTAAAAGAAAGGATTTCTCACTTTCGGAGACAGAGGCAAGAGGAATGCCTGAGCTCAGAGGTTCAAGACCAGCCCAGGCAACATGGCAAAACCTTGTCTCTACAATAAATAAAAAAATTAGCCAGGTGTGGTGGTACACACCTGTGGTTCTAGCTACTTGGAGGGCTGAAGTAGAAGGATCACCTGAGTCCAGCAGGTCAAGATTGTGGTGGTTATGAGTGTGCCACTGCGCTCCAGTCTGGGCGACAGGGTGGGACTCCAACTCAAAAAAAAAAAACAAAGAAATAACTTCTGCATGTATCCTGCTACATGAATTATACATTTTGGGGTAATCAAACGGTCTTAATTGATGAATCCCTTAAGAATAATTTCAGCTAATAAATAAGGAAGGAATACAGAATCAGAAAATCAGTGTTTCGCAACTTAATGATGAAATAATAAATTCTCACAACAGTCATCAGTGGATTCATGAGTGAAAGATTAACAGAAGCTTTACAATGAGGGCTTCCAGCTGTTAGCACCTGGGTGGCATTGGACAGAAAAATGCCCCCCCCAGATGTCCACATCCTAATCCCCAGACCTGTGACTATGTTATCTTACATGGCAAAAGGGATTTTGCAGATGTGATTAAATTAAATTAAGGGTCTGGAGGTGGGGAGATTATCACAAGGGTCCTTATAAGTGAAAGAGGGAGGCAGGACAAGGAGAGAATGAAATGGAGCAGAGAAGGGAGGGAAGAAGGAGGAAGGAATTGAGAGGGGGAGGAGGAAGAAGAGGAGTTAAAGATATTATGCTATTGGCTTTAAAGATGGAGGAAGGAGTCATGAGCCAAAGAAAGCAAGTGGCCTCTAGAAGCTAGAAAAGGCAAGAAAACTGACCTCCACAGCCTCCAGATAGCTTGATATGAGAACTTCTGACCTCCAGAACTGTAAAGATCAATGTCTGTTGTCTGTTTTTTTAAGTCACTGAGTCTGTGGTGCTTTGTTACAGCAGCAGTAGAATACTACACATCTGAACCTACTGATCAACTTAACAGCATTAAGGGGCAAAAAAGTACTGCGTTCTTGCAGCAACACCACACCAAGTATCCTTGACAAAAAGATCAACCTGAATCTACTTACATCTTCACAGCTGACTCCTTTTGCAAGAAATAAGGGGGGAAGACCAAGTTAAAAGACACCTCTAGGAAGCAAACAGATAAATCCAAAATGTGGGACATTTTTTAAAAGCAAATTGACTCCAATAATTCAACTGCAAACATAAAAAGAAAGTGAGGGGAAGACCAGCCTGCTTTAGACTAAAGAGACTTGAGAGAAACAACAAAGTAATTTTAAATGGATATTTCTGAGATAAGTGGGGAAATTTGAATATGGCCTAGGTATTAGATGGTATTAAGGAATCACTTCATTTTGTGAGGTGTGATTACAGCCACATAACATTGTGGCTATGTTCATATTTTTAAAACTATGCATGCTGAAGTAATGCAGGACTGAAATATCACAACATTTGGGATTCACTTTAAAACAGTTTGGCTGAGGGGGAAGCAGTTACGATAACACAAGTGTGGCAAGATTCTGATAATTGCTGAATCTGGGTAATGGGTATAAAGGTGGATTGACCGTACTATTCTCTACAGCACTGAAAACAGACCAATGTCAAAACCAATTTGAATCTGTTGGTGACAAAATTAGGAGCTTTCACATCAAAATCTGGACTTCTGACTTCATTTGAAATATCAAATGTGGCAAAAGGGCCCACATGCTGCATGGTAAGCCTCATCAAGAGCTGAGTACTGGTCACTCTCAATTAACAGTCTCCTCTACTCCCAGTGATCCCCCTGTTTACCAACACTGCTGCTGGCCAATTCATTAACTTATGTTACCTACTTGGCATCTGGGTTAGGACCCAAGTAGTCCAAGTGAGTGGATTAGAAGCAAGAGAATGCATCACACATGGGAGAGCAACTAAGTGAGGGCAAATGCCAGCGTTCAGATGCACAAACTGCAGCTGTTGAGGTCCCTTCAGCAGCCTTAGAGCCAATGTCATTCTCATCAGGTCATGCTACACTAGGGTTCCTGTACTTACTGAGTGCTTACCAGAAACAAGGCAACATGCTACTCCACTCTAGAGTAATTCCTGTTCAGGATACTAACAGTCTAATAAGTAGGACAAGGCATAAATATAAGTAGTTACAATACAAGATAGAAAATAGGTGAGTTTAGGGTACTGTTCAGGGCGTCTTTATGTAGAAGGCTAAGTGGGAAGTGACCATACAAAAAGCTCAGGAATAGATCATGAAGAGCACTGTAGAGCATCCTGGGAAATTTAAACCATCAATGAGCAATAGTGAGCCATTGAAGCGTTTAAAAATATAAGAAAATCAGACAGCAACACCTGAGATGAGAGCAAGTTCTCTTTCACTGCTCAAATTCTCTGATTCCATGAACTACACTCTTTGAAGAGCCAGAAGCATGACCCCTGCCCCCCAAAGCACTGTATCTAAGCCTCTGAAGTTACCCATCACTGCTTTCTTGGGTAGACAAATTTGGTACCCAAAGAGAATAATAAAAGGATTGGTCACAGAGCAATAGCTTTGAGAACAGTTTACAAGTATATCTCCCAAATAAAGTAGAAATAAATTACATCTATTACCACTACTCGGTTCTAGTATCTCTCTTTTTTTTGAGTTGGAGTCTCACTCTGTCACCCAGACTGGAGTGCAGTGGCTGCTCCCGGCCACTGCAGCCTCTACCTGCTGGGCTCTGGGGATCCTTCCGCCTCAGCCTTCCAAGTAGCTGGAACTACAGGCGCACACTACCACACCTGGCTAATTTTTTTTTGATTTATTGTAGAGATGAGGTCTCACCAAGTTGC